TCTGGATGATATTGACTGAAAGAGTAACTAGGGCAGTGGAGGTACGTGTGTTGTAGTCAGTGAAGCTGGCTTAGGACATGGCAGGTTTCAGAGCTGTTGTACATTGGATCGTTATGAGTTGCAGGCAACTTGACAGCACATAACAACAACAACCAGAGCTATATAGATTCAACAAAGTGAGAAATCAAAAGAAACAGTTTAGCAAAAGGAGGACCAGCTAAGAAAAGTTACTTTAGAAAGCTATAAGATTTCAATTTTTTAAATTGGTACACAACAGGATCAAGATTTAACAAATTGAAAAAACTAGAAAACAAGTGAATGCACAAATGCAGCACTCTAGTCAGTATGGGACAACGCTATTTCTGAGATAAAGAAAACAAAAGCTCAAGAGTTCCCCAACTCAATGCCTAGGGAATATATATAGGAGGGTTACTAGTATGATTGCCATATAAACCCAAAACCAAACTCAGTGCCTTCTAATCAGCTCTCCTATCAATAATTCTATCCTAAAAAAAAATAATAATTCTATCCTATGTGTTATGTACCAAATCTATCAGGTTTCCTAATCATCACAATGTATCTACAATTTTCCCATCACATATATGAAGAGACTGAAGTTCAGAGAAACAATCTCCAATAACACAGCTCTCTAGGATCAGAATCAAGATAAAATGTAGGCCTATTTCTGATTGAGAGCCCATTTTGAGGTTTTGGTTTGTTGTGTATTATTTGTTTGTTTGTTTGTTTGTTTGTTTTTTAAAGCCTAATTTGTGCAGCACTTTCCACTGTGCCACCACCCAATGTGAAGTGTTAGCATCATGTGACATTATCACAAACTTTACATATACCATATGTTGTTCTGTTGTTTTGGTTTTTTCCCTAATTTTAGAGTGTGTGTGTGTGTGTACACACATACACACACACACAATCTGGGCTTCACTGAACCAAATAAAATAAGCACAAAATGAGATCAAAACATTTCCTTAAAACAACACACATATTTTGTCTACAAAGTATTAACTTGCTTTATAATAGAATCTGACTTAATAAAATAATGTTTAAACAGGAGTGTCCATATTACCAATTGGGAAAAGTGTCACATAATGTTATTTATATGTTAATTAAAGATAGTATGATACAGATTTACTGTTGTTACAGCATGTATTTACATATTAATGAAGAACTGACTGGGAAAGACATCGTGTGACCAAAAAGAATTATAGGGACTATTTTCCTGAAGTAATTCAACCATTCAGAAGAGATGTTATAATCTATTTATAGATCACAAGTTTTAAATTATTGGTCAAGGTATTTAAAGTTTGGAAGAAAATGAATAATAAAAGAAAGATTTCAGCTCAAAATTATTCCTTTGGTATCATGAGGTAAGGCTACATTTAGTTAATAATTTTAATGATACATGATAATTTTTTAAAAGTACCCCCACAAATCCTTCTTAATTTTTAATTAAGAAAAGAAAAACGTTAACTGTTTTAAGCCACATTCAAAAAAACTTGACAATAGCTGCATCCATTGACATTAACATAGTAATAACTTTTTTAAAAAATAAATCCCTATTTTAAGACAAACTTGACTAATATAATATCTCTCAAATTAACTGCTTCTCTCATAAAGTTGTTGTGAGAACTATATATGAAACATAAAATGGGTTTCTAAATTAAAAATTAAATACGCCATACTTATGGAAGGTTTCTCTATTAAAAAATAAATTAGGAAATCTTTTTCTTCACATTTCTCAGAATACAAGATAAACAAATTATTTACAAAATATTTACAACTCCACTTTTTATGTCAGTGCTATTACACCCAAACACTTTTATATAATAGAAAGGCAATTACATCATCCTTCTATAACAAATAACCAAGAAAGCAAGTAAAACACAGACGACAATCCAGGAACCATGAGCAACAAAAGGAAGAATGATCAATTATATCAAACACCAACTGAAAGGACAAACTAAACAAAAACATTCTAAATGAAGGCAACTGAAAGGGTTCTGTCACTCTAAGGACATATTAGTGTCTGAATGTGTTTCATTGACAATGCAAAAGCATTTGCCTGTGTGGATCACAACAAATTATGTCGTACCTTGAGGAAAACGGGAATCTCAGAACAATTGACTGTGATTATGAGAAACCTATTATTGGACCAGGAAGCAGTCCTCAAAAAAGAGTAGGGAACTACTGCATGGTTCAAAACTGGGAAAGGAGTGCATCAGGAATGAATCCTGTCTCCTTATCTTTTCAACCTGTATTCAGAACAGAGCAGTAGGGAAGAAGGGCTTTATGAGGAGAAATACGGCCATCAGAACTAGAGGAAGACGCATCAACAACTTAGGTTATGCAGATGAAACAACCTTGCTGGCAAAACTGAAGAAGACCTGAAGCATTTGCTGCAGAAGGTCAACTGTAGTTTTCAATAAGGAATTAAGTTGAATATCAAGAAGCCAAAGATTCTCACCAGTAGGCCAACTGGCAGTATCATGATAGATGGAAAAGAGATTGAGGCTGTTAACAATTACAGCTTGCTAAGATCCACAATAAACACTACTAGCAACAGCAGTCAGGAAATCAAAAGGAAAATTGCATTAGGAAATTCTGCTGTCAGGGAGCTCTCCAGAGTGCTGAAAAGCAATTCTGTCATTCTAGACACTAAGGTGCACCTAATCCAGATTGTGGTCTTCGCAATAACTTGTTATGCTCCAAAGAGTTGGACAATGACTATGGATGAAAGAAAATCTATGCTTTCAAATTGTGGTGCTGGAGAAGAGTCTTGAACATACAATGGACTACCAAGAAAACAAATAGGATGAAACCAAGTTTCTCCTTGGAGGCTAGAATTTTGAAGCTCCAACCCAGATACTTTGAGCATATGGCCAGGAGAGACCAGTCTCTGGAGAAAGACATCATGCTCAAAAGGGTGGAGGGACAACGTAAGAGAGAAATACCCAGGATGAGATGGATTGATACAGTCACTGGGGCAATGGGGGTTGGATTGGAATCAGTCTAACTGGCTCAGGACAGAGCAGGCTTCAGAGCTGTATAGGGTCATACATAGGGTCACTATAGGTCGCAGGTGACTTAATGGTACATAACAACAAAAACAACAGTACACATAGGCAGCAGCGGTATCCTAGTAGTAAGGAGCTGTGCTGCCAACCCAAAAGCACATGGTTCAAATCCACCAGTTGCTCTATGGGGAAAAGTCTCCACCTGTTTGATTTAGAGACTGTCAAGAACCAATGGAGAGTAACTGAGATACTTCCAACTCAACACATAACAAAAGTATATATGTATTGTGTGGGTTTTTTCTTTTAAATTTTTTGTATTATTTGTTATGTATGTACCATCAAATAGGATTTGACTGGTACAGGAGGAGATTGTCCCTCCTTCTTCAGCAGAGCATCTGGTGGATTTAAACTGCACATCTCTGGGACTGCAGTGCAGCTTCTTGCCACTAGGCCACCAGAGCTCGCCAAAAGTATATATGTATTGTGTAAATACATAAATAAAACTGACATATGAGGACTTCTAAAAATAAGTTCCTCTGTACATCAGAAACTTTTCCCAATAAGGGTAACAAAAAGACTACAAATTTGGGCAAAGTATTTAGCAATGACGTTTCAGATAAGGATCTCATAACTAAAGTTTACAGAATACTACAAGATTTCAACAAGAAAAAGATTGATAACCCAATTAACATAATGGGCAAAAGATATGAAAACGCTCTTCACAAAGGAAGCTATTCAGATGACTAACACATGAAGAAATGTTCAAAATCACTGGCAATCAAAGACCTGCAAATAAAAAAAACCACATACCATCTCACTCCAATAGCAGTAACAAAATTTAACAGAACCGTGAGCAATAAATGTTGGAGAGGACATGGAAAGACTCAAACTCTCATGCATGACTGGTAGGATCGGGAGTGGTAGAATCACTATAGAAGGCAGTTTGGTGTTTCCTCAAAAAGCTAAAAACAAAAATCACTTAAGACTCAGCCATTCTACTGCTAGGAATACACCCCAAGGAAATTAAAACAGAGTCACAAATGGAGATATGTACTTCTGTGTTCACAGCAGTGTTATTAATAATAGCAAGAAAATGGAAACAGCTCAAATGTCCAGCAATAAAAGAATAGATAGAGAAATTGTGGTACATTTACACAGTGGAATACTATGTAGCATTAAAAAATAATGATTTTGTAAAATACTCTATATCATGAGACAGTCTTTTTATGCTGAGTGAATGAGGAATAATACTGCATATGACCATTATTACATAAACAGATGGATAACTCAGCAAGACACATATTAAATTTCAGAAAGGGGAGTTAGAAAGGAGGAAGGGAACAGACAAAGGTAAAGGGGAAATCACCAGGATAGTGGAGGTTAGGGGTGGATGGTGGGTGAAGGAATAGGAGAGACTCAATTCTAAAATTTTAACTAAATATGAACTGAAATCACAACTACATAAGCTACTGAAATCTTTTTAAATCTCTACATTCCTAAATAGCAGGGAAAGCTGTGGTGGCCCAGTGGCAAGGAGCTGCATTGCAATCCCAAAGGCACACTGTTTGAATCCATCAGCTGCTCCACATGAGAAACATGGACAATCTCCTCCCATGTGATTAACTGCCTCTGAAATCCTGTTAGAGTGTCAGCTGTGGGTCAGTTCTGACTCAATGTTAGTACATAACATGAATACTAAAATTGTTTGGAAGTCAAGATTTAAGTGTCCACCAAAGGCTTAGTAATTACTCTATGAATATTTGCAACATTAGTTTATAATTTATTCTTATATCGTTTCTATATTGTTTAAATTTCTCAATTTCTACATCATTTAAAAATAAAACAGAAATAAGTCAATTATCAGTAAAAAATAAGAACAAAATTTTTTATAAAATTTTAAAATGTTCACCATAAATAAAACAGTACAAAAGTTTAGAAAGAGATTGAAATTCAGTTCACATATTCACTTACCAAGCTTCAGGCAACAAAACAGCATACTCATGTGGAGAAGTGGTTTCTGGGAAGTTAGAAAGAATCGCAAGGCGATGAGGAAGCAGGTCTGAGCCATGGTAAGTAAAGAGAATTTCTAGGGCTTGAACATTACTTTGCTGTATAAAAGAAAAGAGGCAAATTTCTAATATTAATCTTAGAATTAAAAACATGACCTCATAGGATAATATAAAAATCTAAAATTTTAGAAATTCTTCTATGCAAATTCTGATATGAATTGATTGGAAATTTTCTTGATTTTTCCTTATCTGTATCAAGTTTCTAAATCTAGTCCAATAACAACTGTTACATTCTAAAAGTCACATTTATAATTTTATGTCATTTTTTTATTATTCACAGTTGCATCATTTTCTCTATCAACATTACAAAAAGGGGGGCAGTATAATAGTAAATACATAAATTTCATTAATTAGAGTATTTGAATATTTAGAATGTCAATGATAGTTATCTTACTGAGAAAAAATAAATTACCCGAGCATAAGTTCTTGCTGACAGAACAATGTTCTGATTTCTGAACTTCTTAAAGAATTCGGCATCATAGCTCTGCTCAGATCCATGAGGCACTCCTAGGATTTCCTAAGAAAAACCAGTGCTTTAATGAAATGGCTTTTAACTGAACGGTGAGTCGCAAGAAAATATTTCCAAGCTTTCCAATAATGGGTGCCTGAATAAACAAGGTCTAAATTAATTCATTCCAATCATCAACTGTTAATCAACTAAAGTACCACGTTTACACTCCACTCAGTATTTTGATAGTGGCCATATTTATAACTGATGGTTTTATTCTGCGAATCTTTTTAAATGTAAGTTAAATTGGCAGAAAGTACAAAAATCACAGACAATGAAAATCAACCACCTTATATAAATAATAATGATCAACAGATATGCATGAAAAACACTTGTCACCTCTGTATGTGAATTTGACATTTCATTTACTGTTCCAACATGATCTATGCAAAGCATAATCATAAATGGACCAAATGCTTACAAAGTTCCAATATGTGCTAGGGACACTGTGACAGACAACCCTCATACAATAAACTATACACTTTCCTTACTCCCCAAGTAGTTTCAATCTAGTAGAAAAGACAAGCAAATGGAAACAGGTAAGAAAGAACACACAAAATGGGTGTAAAAACAACTACTTTTATGAGAACACAAAATATTTCCTAGAAGTGGCACCTAAGCTGAAACATGAAAGACATGGAACCTACAAGAATGAGACTCCACTAGTATATGATATAAAAAGTCACATATGTCATGATTAATGATGAATGCCACATATCTAGCACAATGCCTTTCCCATAAAAAAGAATTGGTTGGACGAATTAACTTACTGGAAAAAGAAAAATAAGTAGTTGTGCGGGGAGGTGAGAAGAATGCAGTGAGTTGAAAAGATCTACTGTAAACATTTTCAATTTGGAACTATAACATATCTATGTATCTGGGGGGTGGGGAATAAATGTTTATGCTCTCTGCTACTAACTGGAAAGTCTGAGATTCAAAAGCTCACTAAGAGGAGTCTAAGAAGGCATGCTGGAGAAGTGATTCTGAAATGTCACAGCCTTAAACACTCTGTGGACCAATTTCATGCTAAAAACATGTGGTCATCATGAATGAGAACAGGCACAATGGCGACTACCAACAAGCACACATCAAATGAGATGTTAGGTCAAATGAGACAGATTAAAATTCTGATTAAGTATCATTTAGAGTTATTAGTAAAGATAAGTATATGATTCCTAGAGTGATCAAGTAAAGTGAAATGAAAATATTAAGGATCAACATTATTGAAAAGATAGAGAAGCCAGAAATTACTCCATCTATTTATGATTATATGCACCAACAACGAGAGCCAAAGAGGAGGAAATAGAAGTTGGTCAAACATGTAATCAAGATGCATTGATAATAATGGGCGACTAGAATGCAAAAGTTGGGAACAGAGAAGAAGGTTCAGTAGCTGGAAAATATGGGCTCAGTGAGAGAAATGAGGCTGGAGATAGAATGATAGAGTTCTGTACATTCAATGATTTATTAATTGCAAATACCTTTCATAAGAAACATAA